GACGTAAAACGTAATTTCAAAGGATCTGTATTTAGATACGCAGCAACGTGGCTAGCAACCTATATATGGAGAAATGTTACTTTAAACAATTACTATTATGAATTACTATGATAATTATCTTATAAAATCGTAAAATTATTTAAACATACAACATCATATTTATAATATTTGTTTAGGGATAATTTAAATTCAGATTTTTGTTTTTCATCTTTAAATTTTGGCTTAAATTGAACGATGATACGCGTGGATAATGACTTATAGAATGTAGGAATTTCACAAGTATGACCTCCCCGATTTCTAAAAAAAAAAAATCCTCATAAGAAATAATGAATTAACAAATCAATAAAGCAAGACTAAATTAATAAATAATTTACATTTCTGTGAATTCCTTTTGAAAACAAATTACATCACCATTTTGTAGATTATTTGTTACTTCAGTCATGTTTGTTTCTGTTTCCTATATTTTAACAAAATTGTCGTGAGCAAAAATGAATAAACTCCTAAAATATAATAATCTAAGCTTACTTTGTATACCCGTAAAGGTGTATGTGGTGGGAATTCTTTTTTCTCACATAGAATTGGAAGAATATCATCAACTTCGTATGGTTTTTGAATATATATATGGCCAAGTCCTCTATTACATGAATATAATAAATAAAATTAATAATAGAATTAATAATAAATAATAATAAAATTAATACCAAATTAATAATAAATTAATAATAAAATTAATAACAAATTAATAATAAAATTAATAACAAATTAATATTAAAATTAATAATAAAATTAATGATAATTAATAATAAATTAATAATAAAATTAATAACAAATTAATAATAAAAATTAATAATAAAATTAATGATAATTAATAATAAGATTAATAATAAATTAATAATAAAATTAATAATAAAAATTAATAATAAAATTATTAATAATGAAACATACTCTAAATATTGGGTATTAGGGTCAAAATACTTGACGAAAATCATTACGCAAGCATTTCTCACGGGGAACCATACCTATACATATCAAATAAATGAAAATGAAATATGTTTGTAATATGTATAATAACTCATGAAAAGGAATAACTCATTAAAAGGATTACCTCGCCATTAATTGGCTTGTGTGCAATTTCCAAATACAAATTCAGCTCATTTTGTTCCAGACCCAGTCTCTCAAGAATTGCATCCATTGCTATTTATCATAAAAGAGTTATCACAAACAAAATAAAATCGTAGAAATTATATCTACAAATCACTTACACAGGCCATCAAAATCGTCTGGAATTGGCATAAAATTAATAAAATTATAATGCATAAATAACCAAAATCTTATTTGTTCAGTTGGAATTTCAAGTTTGGCTGCAATTCTAGCTTTGAAGTCTTTATATATTTCACTTTTTAAACCTTTAACTTGTGGAACTTCAGATAGTGGATCGTTAAAATTAGCAACACCATAATCCTGGTGGAGATTAATAGTCTTTGGGGTTGCAATCTAAAAGTAAAAGTTTAGTTAAAAGTTTAAATTTATTATAAATATTAAATTCATTATTATCTGGCCGAGTTACCTTGGCATACAAATATTTTTTTTGTTCTTCTGATTCTTCTTTTTTCTGCCCATCAAGATGTCTTTCTATTAAACAAAAAATAAATTCACCACCAAATCTAAATTGCGATACCTTAAAAGAATACTTACGCAAATTTTTTGGTATATCCTCAGGAAGCATTGGAGTTAATATATTGTCGATATCAGACTCACGGATATATACTAATACATATGCACTCGAGAGTCCGCCCCCATAGTTATTTTCAAGTACCTCTTTATCTGTTACAGGTACAACTCTATCATCATCAAATTTTAGCCTGTTAAATATGATTAACATTAATTATCCGATCATTATACAAACAATAAGAAATTAATGAATTGAAATTAAAACCATTTTCCATCCATATTTGGTTTTATTAAAGCAAAATAACGGCCTCCATAACAAAAACCATCATGTACAAGCACTCTGAAACAATAAAAGGCATGAACATTAATCTATTATGAAAAATATTTATTAAAGGATATTAATATTACCAACCCATAAAGTAAATATTTGTGCTGCTTTGTTCTATCTGCATCTAATGATAAATATTTTTCTAAATCAATTTCCATAGGATATTCATAACGATCATTTATCTAAACAATAAATTTACGTTAAAGTTAAAATCCTTTAAGCACTGGGGGATAATAAATTAGATAATTTCGATGCATACCTTATTGACAGTAGCACTTTGTAAATTGTATTCAAACCGTTTTAATTGAAAATGTAATACGGGTGGGAAACTTTCAAAGATTACACCTTTCTTCGCCTCCTATAGGAGTAGGAAATTTAATTTCAATATAAATGTTGTCGATTACACGAATTCTACATACATTTGTCAAAAAATCCTACGTACTTGTAGTCCGTAATCTCCGGCGTCATACTTATTATTTCCTTCTAAAGTTTCTTCTTTTATATAATCCATGAAAGATTCATCTAAATTCTTGCACCCTTTTACGTTAAGTTGAATATCTTCAATGATATAATTAAGTGTTACTCTTAACTAGTCATAAAAATAGTAAACTGTTCATAACTAATATGTTCATTGATACCATAGTAATCTTCGACACAGAATGACTCATAGTCTACGTTAATACATTTAATATAACTCTTCATTTTTCCAGCAAAGAGTATGGAAATTGCATTCGTATCCTATAATTTGTTGCAAAGATGGTTAAAACTAATTCAATTTGTGCACAAAATTTTTATCACAATGCAACCTGTTGCTTTTCTCTAGAACGATTTTCTTTAACCAATGGAATTTGCCTAAGGCCGTTTTCAAGCGCTTTTCTCCATGGTATATGGAATGTTCTTTTTTGCTAAAAAATAGATCAGATAATCATTTAAATTAAGGAAAACATTGACTTCCTTTTTTCAGATTTGTTCTGAAATTTATCGCATTTTGTGTAATGAATTTTCGACAAAATTACTACATCAAAATGATTAAGCAATGTTGTCTAAATCACTAGTAAATATATTGAAGGACTATTTGTAGAACAGCTAAATAATATAACTTTCCGACTGTCACAACATTACGCCAGAAAT